ATTTAGCTAATCCTTGCTCCTTTTTATTATTTTTATTTGCTCTTCTCTGCATTTTTTTCATATTTATTTAATATTATTAATTAATAGATCATCATAATTAATAAACTACGTTGAATTAAACTTCATCCAGGAGAATTATAAGGCAATTAACATTATACTTAATTAGCTCATTTGTTTTTAAATTAAATGATATTAATTAATCATTTTACACACAAATGCTGCCAACCTACGGCCGACTCCGACTCGATCGGCCACCACGGCGTCACCGCCGACAACTGGTAATCACTAATCACTTTTAATTAACTGGTAATCATCCAGAAAAGCCCAAATCAACTGGTAATTACTAATCACTTTTAATTAGTTTGAATCTCTAATGAATCTCTAATTCTCATTATAAAATGAATCTCTAATTCTCATTATAAAATGAATCTCTAATTCCCATTATCATTATAAAATGAATCTCTAATTCTCATTATAAAATGAATCCCTAAAATGAAACTCTCTGATGCAAATAAAACCATTCAAAATTTTCTATGAAACAAAACCACCCCCAATAAATTCAATTTACACACACACCTGATTTGATGCAAATAACACATTCAAAATTTTCTATGAAAAACGCACAAACACACTTCTGTGTGTATGTGTGTGTGTGTGTGTGAAATGCTTACTCCAATCAGCGGAGAGCAGCGGCGAACGACGGAGAGCAGCGGCGGACGGCGGAGAGATGGGGGCGGACGACGGAGAACGACGGAGCGGAGAGATGGGGGCGGAGAGATGGGCTGACGGTGGAGAGCAGCGGCGGAGAGATGGGCGGAGGAGAGCAGCGGCGGACGACGGAGAGCACCGGAAGAATGCGGCGGCGGAGGCGGAGGGGGAGGACCCGACGGAGGGGGGGGCGCCGGCGGAGGGGAAGATTGAAAGAGAGAGAGAAGAAATTCAGAGAAAATGGGGAAATGGGGATTAGGGCCTGACTTCTAATTCATTTTCTTGCGACGATTCCTACCAAATCGTCGCCAAAAAATATTTCAAACGAATCTTGTAGCGACGTTTCCAGGACTTTTGTCGCTAACAAAAAAAAATTAATTACACTTGCGACGTTTCTGTAAGAAACGTCGCTATACAAAAGCGAGATTTTTTCTATAATTATTTTGGCAACGATTAAGACACTATCGTCGCCAATAATAAATATAATTCTTTTAAAAAAGTATTTGTCTTGCGACGAATCCACTATTTTCGTCGCTACAAATAAATATAATTTAATATTTCCTCTTTATTACGCTACGTTTATCCTTATTCGTCGCCAAATCAATAATTTTTTTTTTCACAATTGCCTTAGCGACGAATACGTAATATTCGTCGCTAAGGTAAAAAAATAAATTGAAAAAAATATATTTCTTGCGTCGGTTATATAAAAACGTCGCTACGAGAGAGTGCTTTATTATCTTTTTTTTCACTTTGCGACGGTTTCTTATCATTAGTCGCAAACTGGCGACGATTGTTTTTATCGTCGCGAGATATTCCATCGAAATCTTATTTACCGATATCTTGCGACGTTTGTAGTCAAAAATGGTCGCAAACTAGCGACGATTCCGGAGTCGTCGCCAAAAAAAACGTCGCAAGTGAGCTGTTTTGGCCTAGTGCGCTGCATTTATCTGTTCTTTAATTTGGCGGGAGCTTCATAAACACTTGCAAATATTGGAGAATAATAGTTGTTGGATTGTGGGCAAGGGTCATGTTGACTTCTCGCGAGACAGATGGTTTCAAGATGGGATTCTTGATGAACAAATCTTTGACGCATCTACTCAAAGCTTGGTTGGCTGGTTTTAGGATCAGTTCGCAAGAGGGTTTAATGGCACTTGGCATCTTAATGTTTGGTTGCTGGGAAATTTGGAAGAATCGATGTCGATCCATTTTCGAGGATATTCCGATGAATACCACGACTATCATCATCACGAATATATATCCTTCCCTTAGTGTCTGAATGATACTATGGTGATCAAATCTTCGTCGTCAAACCTGGGGAAAGCTATCATGCAATCCCTTAATTTGCATGTTAAGGAAAGGGCATTTTGGATCCAATGGACTCCGTCAGCATCACCTCAAGTTCAAATCAAACGTGAACGGATATCAGCATGGAAATGAGTGCTCGGGCGGAGGTATATATATTGAGGACTCGCGATGGACACTTTCTTCATGGTTTTTCTTACTTTTATGGGCATGGTTTTCATCTTTCTGCAGAATCTGCATCAATTTTAGATGGGATTCATATTTCTCTAGAGAAAGGATTCGATGCAAAACTAGTTCCACACGATTTATCAAAATATGGTTGTTGCTTGGGAATTAAAATATGTTATCCGGTGCATTCGCAGACTCCTTTCGGCGAATAGAAGAGTGGTTCATATTTATCGGGAAGGAAATCGTCCCACTGACAGGCTAGCCAAATCGGCTCATGGCCATAAATTGAAGATTCAGATAGTTCTATTAGAGATCTCCCTAGTTTTATTAGACATTTAATTTTATTAGATAGATTAGGCTTTCGTGATTTTCGTACACGTTGTATTGTAAATAGGGGATACTATTTTCCTTGTTCTAGACCGACAAGGTTTGCAATGAAAATACTCGTTTGGATATATATATATATATATATATATATATATATATATATCACCTGTTAAAGAGGTTAAATCTGGCAGCGGTTGATTTGATCGGCCAGAGAAACCCAGAAATTGCTTCTGAAAGTGGTGATTTACGCGCCACTTCTGAAAGTATTGAACTATTTGAAATTTTTTGTTCCATTATTTTATCAAAAATATTTTTTCCTAGATTCGCCCTTGGGTGTGAGGGAGATTAGATGTATTTTTTTTAATACATCTTATATATAAAATAAAGATATTTCGAACTATAACCCTAAACCTAAAACAAGGGGCATTTTAGTCAAATTTTATTTTGATAGTTTTTCCACACAAAAACGGTACGTGGGGTCTAGGGGGGGCTCCCGTCCTTGCAGGAAAAAAATATTCTCCTATATTCTATTATTTTTTTAATTGCATTTTGGTATTTATCTATTAATTTATAGACTTTGGCCCCTTCAAAATTCAAATTTGTACACTTTTTAATCCATAAGAAAGAAAAAATTTCCTTCTCTTTAGTCACCTTCATATTTTGGCCCCCCAACTACAAGCCCCTGGGTCCGCCCCGGGGCGTGAGGGAGATTAGATGTAGTTTTGTTAATACATCTTATGTATAAAAGGAAGATATTATTTTCAACTATAACCCTATACCTAAAACTAGGGGCATTTTAGTCAATTTTTATTTTGACAGTTTTTACACACAAAAACCGTCCATTCCGAAGAAACCTCTGCACGATCTTCTTTTTGTAATGAAAGGGGATGAAAGAGAGAAAATTGTAACCGTTGATGAAATGCGTACTGCATAGGTCAGTTGGACGCGACTATGCATTTTTTGGTAAAGACATTTTATTCAAAGCAGAAATCAGCGTGTTGGTAGGTTATTGCTGTTAAAAGGATATCATATGATGATGATCTTATCCAACAATTTAGGAATAGATATGAATGTTTGATTTTCTTTTTCATCCGTTTTCTGCTAGAAATTCATACAACGCTTTTTAACCCTATTTGTTTGTTGTAGACACATGATGAAGAATATGATACGGGAATGACGGGGAATGCCTCTAAATTAACAACTACGATAAATGAGATGATCGAAAATATAGAGGCTCCCTGATGTGCACAAGTTTCTATATGACTCCGTAGTTTTGGTCATTATATTTGTTAAAGCAAGTGATGTCAGGGGCTGGGATTACGTGACGAAAGAAGCTTTCTCATTAGACAAAAATGAGTGGGCATTTAAGGGGTTTCTTCTTCTTCTTTTTTCACTAAATCTGCTGAATGTTTAAGGACTATATTATATTCAATTTTCAAGCTTGCTTTGGTAGGTTCTGTCATTTGTTGCTACCTTGGATAAATTATGGAAGCTAATATGAAGAGTACGTAATTGTTCTGTGTCGTGTAGAATCTGATGTTCCTGGTTTTGCAGTTGGGGCTGGCGGATTTGAATTATCGATTAGAGAATCTAAGAGGAGAATTATTAGATGGCAATGGAAAGATGAAATTGGAATTCGTCTAATTTCTCTTCGGACAATAGTCTGGACCTGAACTCCAACCTGAATTTGGGTGTGGGTTTAATCCCGATAGTTCTTAATTCTTATGTCATTCATTCCTTAAACAACTTATGATTTAATCAAACCACGGATAGAAAATAGACTGGTTGTACTTGAAATCTGGAACTAGTTTTTTAAGTGCAAATTATGTTATACTCTATTATGTATATTTTTTTCTGAAGAATATCTATCATTATCATGTTCCTAACTTCTAAGTGCATATAAACCATAACCTTTATGGACATATAAAACCTGATTTTTGTGGATATTGAAGAAGAAAATATCCTCATTTTATTTTCTAAACCAGAGAAATATCTTGGAGACATAGTTACATGGAAAAAGGCGTAACCTGTTCTTACAGAGGGACTACATGAGTTCGGGAAGCCCTACAAGGTTTTCAGGTTGATATTGCTTGGTTCAATTGTGTGGTTATTTTAGTTGATAGATGGACTGTTAAAGCGCATAATGCTCCTACGAAGACTTGCCTTATGGAAATACAATTTTGGTATTTGTTCTGCTGCTTTTTCTGAGAACATTTGATAGGTAAATTTGTGTGCGGTAAAAAATGATTTTTTTGGTTTTTACATGTACCAATCTATTGATCGTTTTTATAACCCCTATATTGGTAATTTACATATGTTTTCATACATGCATAGTATTTTGTAATTCATCTCAGATCTACTACACGGTTTTGTTCACTTGACTCTTGAGGATTGAAAAACAACAAAGCAAGAAATGGCAAATGACAATATGTTTTACTTCGAGAAGCTATAGATACCTTAGGTTTGATTTCTCAATCGCGATATTCAACATAATAAGTTTTAAATATGTTTTATTTTATAATGGTACCCGTGCAACGCAAGGGTTACTAGTAAACATAAAAAACAAATATATACGTTTTACCATCAATATGCAATTAAATTCAATACGACATGCAATTAAATTCAATACGACAATATTAATAAGGGTGTGTGCAGAAATTGGAGGTGAATGAAGAAATACGAACATATTCGAGTTGAGTATTATGTTGGGTTCCATACAAAATCCTTGCATCGAAATTAGTGGGATCGGCATCACCTTCCTGGATGGCGCTAAATCCTATTTGCACCAACTCACCTACACACAGTCTCATGATTGCTGCAACCACATCCACCACCCTGTATTTCGTCTTCTACACACATCACAATAACAAATTTCAAAAAACCTAATGTTTAAAAAAACAAAAAGAAAAGAAAAGACACCTCTCGGAATCAATTGCTAGATGGGCAGAATTTCGAACATATTCCACAGTTTTGGGATCTTTGCCGGTTAAAGCTGGCTCATACAGCAAATGGTGATATCCTCCCTGTAACTATATTATATTGTTGAATTCAAATAATTGAAGATAATAATAATAAATAATCAAAAGAAGAAAAATAATATATATATATATATATATATACCCATTGAATTGATTGAATATCATCCTCTCCTCCCTTAGTCTTGGGGCGCCTCAACCTAAACGGATCATTGGAATCGAGTGTCTGTTCTTCAACAGGTTCCAGTACCCTTTCCAGTTCACGATCCCGTTCTTCATACATACGCGATTCCGTTTCGGATTCGGTTTCGGATTCGGATTCGGTTTCGGATTCGGATCCGGATTCGGATTCATCTGCTTGCAATTTATTGAGTTGAGTGACTATCTTATTGATCCTGAACTTGAGCTTTTCAGCTCTCTCCACCTCCAATTCCTTCTTCTCTGTATCCGATTGATCCTTGGTTTCCGATCATCGGACTCCCCTCTATTTTTGTTCCATCTCCAAATAGACGTTTCACCAGGATCCATCTCTCGAAGCCCTAATCGTTTGTTTGTGTAATCGTAGCCCTAGTACTTTTTGCGGGTTTTGTTTGTTTTCCTTTTTCCTTCTTTTTTTCTTATTTTTCACCCAAGTAAATTTACCTTTTCCCCTAAACGCACAAACATATATTACCATTTCTACCCCTACTCAATTTTTCAAAACAAAACAAAATACAATAACTTAAAACAAATATGGACTCTTTCAAAAAAAAAAAAAAACAAATATGGACAGCAAAAAAAGAAAACAAATAAGATATTTTTCTCCAATAACGGAAGAAAGAAAGAAGAAAAAAAAAATTATATGCTTAAATAGAAGAATATGCATATATTTTGATTGAATTTGATCTTGAAAATAAAGAAATCAATTTAAGTTATTATTGAAAGAGAAAATAAAGAAACTAGTGTAGAATTTGCATGATAAAATTTGAAAGGCTATGACTAGCTCCCGGGATTCACTTCCCAAACACCCTCTCAAAGGTATTTGAAAGCCTTGGCGAATTCTAATTTGCTTTTTAGTAGCTATCTATAGTTTTATGGAATTTGGATCACAAAAAGAAAGCGAAAAGGAACGAGACGAACAAAGAAAGAGAACCGGAGCCTCCAGTCTAAATCGAAGCTTCTGAAATAGCATTTTAGGGGGTTTCGTAATTTCTCACTAGCGTATTAATTAATTCCTTCCCCAACACATTCATAATAATAAGAGACCAAAATTTCACCTGCTTTTTCGAATGTGGTATTTCATATTACACTTCACACAAAAACACCCACGGTTACTCTAAACGTTAAATCTACCACATCAAATTTTCAGATTTCTTTTGTTACACATTTGGTTGGGGACAATCTCAGCTAATGCAGTAATTTTTAATGGTATGATCAATCAATCGGTGATGTCTCTGCTCTTCAATGCAGATTCGACGAGCTTGACTTTTTTGCTGTTCTCACTGTTCAAGAGTGAGAGTTTAGCGAGGGACGATTTCAGTTGAGATATATTATCGTCTTCAATCCTTCTATTGTTAATACTATTCCCCCTTCTTCCTCCTGCTTTTTGTGTTTCTTTTGCCTGCGGTGAATGAATATGTCTATTCAACCTTGCACTTACTGCCTCAATCGAATAGTGCAACGCATCCAATTCCAATCCACTAAATTTATCTGCATCAACAAGTATTAATTTCAGTGTTACAATTCTAGGCTCTTGCATATTGAATAATAGATAGGTGTATATAGCAACTTGTAAAATAAAACTGTAGTAGAAAAATTACCGAGTTCCAGCTTGAAATCTCTCTCGGCTTTCGAAAGTGGTTTTTTGTGTGAACCAGGCAGCTTCCTCAAGTTTTGTAAACGCTCTTCTAAGGAACTGTGACGCTCAACTGCTCGATCTACGCGATCCTCAATCTTCTCTTTTTTTCTTTCAACTTCCGAAAGCTTCTGCTGCATTTCTCGTAAGCGAGAATGCTGGTTGTCGATCACTTTTTTCAACTGAGGTGCATGATGCTGGAGTTCAAAGTACACCTATAAACAAACAAAACAATATCATTTCTAAATTCAAATCACATAAACAGGATCTAAGGAATAGGATACAAGTATATTTGTTTTTGCATATACCCAGCCCTCCTCCTCCCCTACCCCATTGAAAATAAAAAGTGTAACTCTTTGGTATTTACAACATTATGTAATCAATCTACAACGATAATGTGAAGAGAGCATATATTAAATAACTGCAAACATGACTTATTACCTTGTGTGCATACTCGACGTAATTTTCATGAAACAGCTTGAAATACTGATGAAGCATCGATCGACCTTCGATAGAATCAGCTGTCACAGAGCGTAAATTTGGAGCAGAAGGTGGCAATAAAACTGATTTAGGGCCACTAAGTAGTTCTTTGCTGATTATAGTGGGAACATCTGTCTCTTTTAACTCATCATCTGGACCAACAGCTTCTTCCCTCACCTTATCAATGACATCAGTAAGCAGTACATTCCAAGTCTCCATCTGTAGCACTATACAATCTTTAGAAGAAGTAAGTCCCGTAATCCACGAATTCCCGAACGAATCTGACAAAGCCAAGAAACCATGAAGAGGTGATGGTGATGATGAATCGTCGGGACAAGTACTAAGAACAGAGAGCACAGATGGAGTTCGCATTGCCTCTTCTTTCCCACTTGTCTGGTTAGTGAAAGGGAGAAAATGCAAGACAATTAAATCTATTCCTCCCATATGAACACAGAATATTCTCTCGGGGACAAGAGGGTCATTTATCATAGCAATCAACGAACTATTCTTAGTGGGCAAAGCCAAATCCACAATGGCCAGCCTCAGCAAAGGAGGGGGGTGGCCCAACCAAACAGTATGGTCAAGCTTTAAAGTAGAACGGTCGTTGGGTGCAGATTCACAAATCATTGCAACACCGAGTATTTGATCGGATGAATCAACACGTAAACGAGGGGCACTGCCCATCTTCCAAACTGGCTGGATTTCATCGGCTAAAGCATCCAATTGCAACTGCCCACCACTCCAAGCGGTCACAAGAATTGAATCTTTGCCAGCTAAGTTGTAAAGAAAACTGACCGCACGGCCTTCACATACTCCTTTTTCAAATTCGGAATCTTGTGTCGCGCCATTACTTACTTTACGTAAAGGACCCTGAAATAAATGTTTTTGATACTTGTGAATGTTTTTAAATAAAAGGGGAAGGGATAAAGAGGGGGCTAAGGATTGACTGGAGCCTGAAGATAAGATGCATCAAGACACGAGGGGAAAAAAATCAACTAGCAAGTACTTCGAGCATAAACTGCATTAAAAATCAACGACCTAGAAAAGCAAAAAAAAATCTACACGACAAATAAATCCAGATAAGTAACTAATTGCACATAAGAGTCTAAGTCTTGTAATACTATAACCAAGATATGTTCAAGTCACTACATAACGACCAAATCCATGAAAATAGAACTCTGGAGGCACAAATACAAGAAAAGAATAACAGGGATTAGAAATACCTGCAGTGAAACTGATGCATCCAGTAAAACAAAAGGCTGAGCTTTAACAGCATACAATTTGCTACCATCTCCAGAGTGGAGTACTAATTCAGGAAATGTCGCCTCCAGCCAAGAGATTGCTGTATTGGAATTATAAACAGCTTTTGAATTGGCAGATTTCAGCCCAAATGTATGAGCATCATTATACATTTCCAGAACTGATTCCCAATTATACGTACTGTTTGAAAAAAAAAGGACAGAATCAGCACTCAGATACATTTAACAAATTGAGACTCTGGACAACATAAGGAAAAGCCTAAATGCGATGATCTAATAAATCATTTAGCATCTTGCCAACGTCTGGCAGTGTCTGCATTAAGATTTTGATGTATTCAGACAAAAAAACAGCAGCAAAGCCTCAAAAGGCAAAATATTTTTTAAGTACATTTTGTTAAGCAGGGTCAACATCCCCCATGATTTTTTTTGGGATTCCAAAATAGCAAAAAGGATAATCAGAAGAGTGCGCAAGGTAAATTACCTTCCAAAGGGAACAACAGGGCAAATTATGTAACTGGATCCATCACTAAACAAGATAAAAACCTGAAAAATGAGAAGCACCATCAGTCTCTTACTCCACATTGAAATATATTTTTGAATATATTAAGTTAGTCATGTTGGATAAAAATTCTAAACACATTTCCGACACGAGCCCTCGAATTGTTATACAAATTCCACCAATAAACGTCTTGTTCTTTTGTGACATACTAAACACATTACAAGTGTGAAGCTTGAAATATAAAGATACTCTTGCCTCGTACATGAAATAAAACTTCATAAGCTGGCAGATCAGATGTAAATATACTCTCTTACTAAGAGTTACACAAAATTGGCTAGATTCATTTTTCTGGTCAACCAATCTACTCCAGAAGCCGCAATTCATGTCATTTGTTAGTTGAAAGAAAAGATAATTGTTTATATTCCGAAATCCAAGGTGATAAGACATCAGAGTTAAAAGCTCAGCAACTTTTTGAAATTGTAATAAAAATTGTGGGAAGGCATAACCATTTTGAGTTCAATAATTAACATCAGGATCTACTGCACTTGGTTACTAGGAATAGGAGGTACATGACTACGTCACAAGTTCCAGGGGAAGCTACACAGGTAAGCAATATGGAGGTCTGATGATCTCGTCTGACTGAAGTCAAGAATTCAGCGAATGATTCCAATTTTGTATGGAATTTATCTAAGATTTTAGTACAATCAACTAAGTCTTTTGTCCAAATTCAGTGTCCAATGTAGAATAGCTCGTTCTTAACTACATAGTCTCACACTTTAAAATAAACCAGGGACTGCCGGAATAAGCTCTCCATCAACCAAAGATAAGACAATTAACTACAAAAATATAATGATGCATATTCCAAGTGAGCCAGTAAAGTCAATTTTTAATTCCATGTAACCAGAATGAGCATGTCATAATAAACATAAATAAAACGATAAACTTTGTTTCTCAACACGTATTTCATTGTAGTGCATGTACTGATAAAATCGATGTAATTTTGTCAGTAACAGCATTAGCAGTAAGCAGAAAAAATCCCAGTACCCAACATAAATAGCACCAAAAAAAACAAAAATATGCAGGACTAGTACCCTCTTACACTGAATCTATCCCATAAATGATTGCCCCCAAATGAGAAATCCACAGGACATATTGCTGCTGCATTGCAAGAACTACCAGGTTCCACAGGTTGCAAATAATACTCCTGCTCCGGTTGGCCAAGGTCTGCAGACAGATCAAATAATCTGCAAACATATCATCAACACCATCATATAGAGCATATGTTTGAAAAAAATATGAATGATGTTATTAGCATGTAAGATTTCTACAGAACAATGAGGCTTCTATGGAACTTTAGCAAATATGTCAGGTTGATTGCATTCTACCAATAGATTATGTTTCTTAAAATTGCTGCATATTCAAAACAACAATTTAGGGGTGTGCATTCGGATCCAGGAGCCCACTACCGCAAGCGACTCGATCCGGGTGGTACTCGATATTTTTATTTTGAAAAACATATTTATTTCATAAAACATAATATCAAAAAAAAAAGGGGGATTAGGAATATATAATTTAATATCGATATCAATCTCATTTTAGTTTATTTATCTCCATTTTTATATCTTCAATTCCTATTATATATCCTTTGATTTCCGATTTACTTTAGTTTTTATTCGAATACAAGTTTACTTTAACAAAGAAGAAGAAGAAAACAATGTAGAATGATGATTTATTTCATCTACTTTCATTGATATCAAGTCATTTTCATTTAATGTAGCCATTATAAATATACAAAAAATATATTGAAGAAACAATTACCCGATAGAAATGTAAAATTTAAAACCTAATTTTGAATGCAAAATTTAGAATGTGATATTTAAAACATAATTTTGAATGCAAAATGCACATCGACTCAACAGATATTGTAGATTGGTACTTCAAATAGAAATGTCGCAGAATGAAATTGTACCTGAAAACTGAATCCGATGAAAGTATTCCCAAGTGTGTATCACTGTGAGGATGCCAAGAAATTTGCAGGATGCGTATGAAATTGTTTCTGTCAAAGTAAATTTCTGGACCAATCGAAACTGTCCTGTAAAAGTTTAAGGAACAGAACTGTCTTTTCAGCCTCTATAGAAAGAATCCAGCTTATTCAAGGAAGGCTAAAACTTCACTATCAAATGTTCGTACATTACATTCAGAAAAGATACCAAATGAAGTTAACAACACTATTTTCCACAGCCAGTTATTGACCAAGAACTTAGCTTGCACCAAATGAAACACTCTAAAGGTGTCAACACAAAGTCATTTCACTTGGTTGTGAAAACTTTCTTCACGACAGTCAATTCTGCTGATATTTAGGTATATCTAACTTTAGAATTTCTAGGATTGAGCAGCAACGTCTAGATACTATTAAACAGAAAACTCGTAAATAAATCTCAATAAAGAGGTTAAGGCTAAACATCAACTTCATAGCAAGAAACCACATGCTCCAACAGTTAGTAAGTTTTTAATTAGTATTATTTCGTTGATATGAGCATCCAGTTAGAACAAGATAAACTTTGGTGCAAATAAAGTTTTTACGTACCGACAGAGGATGGTATTTTCTTCCGTTGAAGAGCGCCCATAGAGGTATATAACACGAAGTCCTTCCAATCCAGAAAGGAACAAAGCTGATCCGTTTCTGTTGATTGAAATCTTATTGACCTCAAAAGTCGTCGGCCTTTCTGCTTGCAACACCTATATGAGAGCAAACCATGTATGGGCATCACACATCCATTTCTCTACGATGTGTTATAAAACGAAAAACGAATGCCAATAATCTGCTCTCACGCGTTAAATTAGACTGTCAATTTTTGGAATAGGAAAATACATTCGAGTAATGGTATCAATACAATTTTCCATTTCTCTTGTGTTGTTAACTCATCTCCATGAACAAGGTTCAACCACTAAAATTTAGCAGGCCATCAAAACTACATTGACCAGGATTTGAATATTTGTTAAGGTAATACTGTTTAACTCTACTTAAATTAAAGAGGTTAATATATTCTTAAACCCATCCTAAACCCTAATTTATTAATGCTTAGGTTTCAGAAGCAAATTGAATGTCGAACACACAAAAAAACATATGGCATTGAATTTAAATCGAAAGGAAAAAGAAAAAACCTTTGAGGGGAAAGCTGCTAGAATGGAAGCCGGGTCGGGCTCGCCCAAGCGAATTGAAATTCGATGGAGGCATTTCTTATTTAAATCCCAGAAATAAAGCCGAGAAGTTCCATCCCACGCCATGAGATTCGGAGGCATTCTTTCGGCAGCGGCAGGAGTGGCGGTGGTGGTGGCGGTGGCGGAAGAGAAGAGTGGGTGGTTTTGGAGTGGGAACCATTGGAGGTCAGCTTTAGGGGTTGAACTTGACGGCGAAGGCGTCGGTGATTGACGACTGTCGGGTTCGATTAAGTCGAAAGAAAACCTCATCTCCGGTCGAAGAAAGATCCGGTGTGATTGTGATATTGAGACGACTCGAATTTGTTTTTTTCACAGAGCGTTTAACTCTCAAATATATTTAAATTGGTCTTTCGAAAAACTGAAATGATATCCATAGTGCAATTTTTACTATCTTGCAGTGCATTTTTTCTTCATTTGTAAATTTTCTTTAAAAAAATTTAGATCCTCTCAAACTCTCTTCAACCCTCTTCTATTTCCCACGAATTAAATGAGCAATCCCACAATGATTTGAGATAAAAATCGAACTCCATTTCGTCAATGCAAATGTTTTATTGTTGTCTTATTAAGAAATTGCATCAATTAGAGGTAGGTTTAGGTCAATTTGACCGAAACCAAAAAAACATGCGTTTTGTGCAAAAAAGCACGAAATTAAACTCTTTATTTCGGAATTTTTGGCACGAAACACAAGTTTTATTGTGGTTTCCGTTTTGTTTCGTGTAGATCCACACGAAATTAAAGCTTCTATTTCGTAAAGTTTCACACAAAATAGAAGCTTTGATATCGTTGTATCATACACGAACTTTTCAAATTTTGCATTTTCTCTTTCGTTTGTAGAACACCACGGAATGTGTAACCTTACATTTCGTGACATTTCACACGAACCGGAAGCTTACATTTCGTGGTGTTCTACACGAAACACTGCATTTTTTTTTTGTTTACTTATTATTATTATTATTATTATTATTATTATTATTATTATTATTATTATTATTATTATTATTATTATTATTATTATTATTATTATTATTATTATTATTATTATTATTATTATTATTATTATTATTATTATTATTATTATTATTATTATTATTATTATTATTATTATTATTATTATTATTATTATTATTATTATTATTATTTATACATTAAATTAACTTGTTTAATGTTTTATGTGACAGATGGAACTCAAAGGCACTTATGCGAACAGTTCGTGCTGAGGCCGAGTAGCAAGAGTGGGAGCGGATGACTATGTCTACACGATGTAGGTGGGAGATAGAGAGAGCTGTTGTAGTTGGGACATCGTTGCGCATGCCGATGCCGATGTCGGGCCTTCCCATGCTATGGAGGAGGAGGAGGCGTGGACCCGTTCATGAGATCGAGGTTTTAGGTCGTGGAGGTCGAGCACGGGACCGTAGAGGTCGTGGTCGTATCAATCCATTTGTGCTGGATGGTCCATATCCGGATGGCCCGCTGGACCTCATTTTGATTCCAAGTTTCAAGTCGCACGTAGCGGCATACATTTGGAGTGGAGAAGTAAGTTAATTACTTGTTTTAATTTTAAATTTTAATTGTTATATCTTATATTTTAATATTTTAATTATTTAATTAACTAATATATGTTCTAAATAACTAATTGTAGGAACGTCTGGTGGGACGAGTGGATTCCCAAATAAGCTCCCTAACCCAATTCAACTACGATACGATTGGAGATGCCCTGGCCTCCTTAGGCATAGATCTCACTGCAGACAAGCATTTCGAGTGGATGACCGGTTTGTACCTCCTAGCCCGCTCTTTCATACAACGCATAGATGGTTAGTTATTGTTTGCGTTCGTGGAGCGGTGACAGCCGGAGACACACAGCTTCCATATGTTGTGTGAAGAGATCTATCACTCTCCACGATGTTCAGCTGATGTTAGGTGCTCAGGTGGAGGGATGGGTGGTCGCTCCTAGGTACGATGTGGACACAGAGCGGGCAAACTGTGTGTATTCATTGTCCGAGATTATGAACCTCGAGCTTTATGAGATTAACGAAGCATGGAAGCATGGTGGCCCCACATGGATGATGCTACATGCACAACTTCTGATGCCCGACACGCCCATGAGACACCGAGTAGATTTATCTGGTGTTTCATCTCAGATCGATTTTATTCTCAGAGAAGACGTGTGATCGGGTGAAGCCATAGTATATGCACATGCTCGAGGGTGTCGAACCTGATAGTGTCGGCACGTATTCGTGGCGTTCGGCCTGTTTGGCCAATCTATACATGGAGCTGGGTATATGCAGCCGAGCACAATCGAGGAGCTTGGCCTATTGTACCATCCTTCCTCGGGTAAATTGATATGTTTTATTTAAAAAAAATCATATTTTTTTTAAAATTAATTTATTCTATTATGTAATTAACTGAATTTTCTTAAATTAAATATCGCAGTGATGGATATACGACTACTTCTCGAAGTTTCAGCCCCAGAAGGAGAGCGATCGGTGTCGTGACTTCCAGCCTCGATGCAAGATGTAAGACATGCCGCCAATAGCGGGATCGGTCGAGCAAATTCGAGGGTTACTCGATAATATGACTGCGGATGATGTAAGTTATTTATTTACATGTATTCATATTATTGTTTATTTGAATTTTTTTATTTATATTTTATATTTTAACTGTTTAGGTCGAGTGGCTGCCGCACGATCGGGATATACACGAGAGAATCCCTCGTTCGTTATATCATGGCACGAACCAGTACATGTGGGTCGTAGAGCCGTATATGTCCGATCATTGGTGGAGCCATGTTTATGCGGTCCGAAAGGAAGTACATCATACAAGGTCAAATACCCATTTTTCCGGATGGCATGTGGGACATGCTCGAGGCTCAATCCCTTTCGATTAACAAGTACAAGACGGCACGACAATGTGGAGAAGTCGACGAGCACTACATGGGGTGTTACACCGATCGGGCTCATCTGAAGATCAACAACTCGGATATAGGCCCGCTTGTACCGTACCGAGAGAATGTCAGGCCACCAGATCAGCCGGCTTATTATCAGATAGTACGTGCCTTGTGCCTAATCGCCACGAGCACTGGACAGGACTTGATGCAGCAGTTCGCTGATTTACGCGCCGACATTCGAAATATTATAAATCCCACCGTCCGATATATTGGCATCGACCAAAACGATGACAACGACGACGACGATGATGGTGGTAATGGTGATGATGAGGTGCAACTGCGTAGGAGAGCGAGGTGTATTTATACTTTAATTTCACATATTCAAAGAACTTACACATAATCATCTCAGTAAGCATATTTTCACATATTTCACAATGGCACATCATTGTCCATACATGAAATGTGCACACATGCAAGACCTTATTTAAACTAAAGTCACGTAGTTTAGTCACACAATCACAAAATCAAGCAAGAGACATAACAAATTAAAGTCAAGAACATAAACCACATATCTTACACATATTATAAAAGTAACTCAAAGTTTTCAGTTATTTATAGTTACTACTTCAATTTCCATTAATTTAAAGTTCAAACCATCTTCCTCAAGAGACTTTAATTTTTCTATTCTCTTTAAACCATTACAAAATTTCACTTTTTTTACTAGATCTTCACATGCAAAGTAATTAAGAGTTTTCAATACTAATTATTGCTCTTACTACGTGCATCATCAAGTAATTACTACTTTTCAGTGTTTTTGCATCTTAAACATTTTCTCCAATTTTTTCTTCAAAAATTCGAACCATTAGTACAGTCAAACTAATAGTTTATTCTTTAATTCATATGCATCAACATAGAAGCACTAATTCTAGCAATTTCAATATTCTTCCCCGAATTCGTGGGAAGCTTCGACGAGGGTTTTGACTCGAATTTTTCATAAGTTTACGTTTAGATTATGATTTCTCGTGATCTTCATTTCGATGCTTCTATATTTATAATGAACTGAGCAATTTGTTTTAGGAAAATGAGACCTTGTATATATTGAATTTGATATTAGATTTGGATTTGGAGATCATTATCGTAGTACATAGGTAGATTTGACCTTAGAAGCCATCACAAGTCGAAATTCCCCGCTTGTCATGGAAGATTGTTGTTTTATTTATTGCTTCTTTTTAGCTTCACTTCTCCCATCATTTCATGGTTGTCCAGATAAGGTTTAGGATAGTAAAATTACGGTATTTGGTAAATTTATGAACTTAATTCATTGTGGATCGATCTCTGAAAATTCTCTATTCTACAAAATGAGATATTGTACACTTTAATATGAATTAATGTCCAAAGTTTTAAACTTGAAAAATAGAACAGTATTTTGTGTGGTTTTAGCATAACGATATGGTAATTTGACAATTGAACGTTGATTTTCAATAATATATGGTAGGACTTTTTGTTTGAAATTTCTTAAAGAATAATGGTTTCAATATGTCATTTTTTCTTGTCGATGTCCTACATACATGAATTTTCAATGCCCTCGTTTGAATTTGAAATAATACTTGCAAAACTCTGTTTATATCCGATTTTATTATTAAAAAACAGAAGAAGAAGAAGAAGAAGAAGAAGAAGAAGAAGAAGAAGAAGAAGAAGAAGAAGAGGAATCGCAAACAAATAAAACCCATTAACGATCATCAATTTCACATGAACTCTGCGGTAGCATAATCCGACATCAAATTGGATGAGAACACACCTGCAGCAGTTCTACATATTCAGACAATCCAATGTACAACTTACAACATTTTGAGACCAATATTCCCAGCCATAAACTATACACGTATATATATATTTGTAGAAATATCGTATCTACTCCTAATAATCTACGTCTATGACTCTATTTCTTTGATTTCCACCCTTTGGATGAACCTGCAGTTGAAATAAAAACACAAAGAATAAGTTACAACACCCTGTGTTTGCAACTTACCAAAAAATAAATGTTGAATCTCACTAAAATTTGAAATAATTGCTTATTTCGAAAAGTTTGTATTGTTAGATTAAGATAAAACTAATAAAGAGTACTAATATCAAATACAACTTTCAGTTATCTACAAAAGTATAATATGCTAAAAAGAAATCATAAAATACTTTTGGGATTGTATATTAAAAATTTAAAACAATGTAATTTCTTTTGAGAGAAGTAAAAACTATTATTTGCAAAAAATGAAGGAAACAAAAACAAATCATGGGGGAAAATACTTATAAGCTGATTTGAAAAACTATTGAACACCATCTAAGTGGATGTTTGCAAAAGCTTTTACAAATAGATTATCAGCTTTTTTTTTTCTTCTCATAACTTATTTTGAAGTGTTTGCAAAATCAACTTTTGCTTTTGCTTCTCTGAATTAAGATAAGCAACTTTAAGCTATAATTTGTTGAGCAACCATGACCCTGTTTTTTCTATTTAAGTTAATTCTCCAATAAATTTGCAAACACCCCCAATTTTTAGAAAAAAAACACTTAAAATCAACTTAACTTAGAATGCATAACTTCTACTTTTAAATAAGCTTTTGCAAACACCAACAAACAAATGACAGCACGTGGGTTAATGATTAAATTAAGGCCACTAACAAACCAATTACTATATATTTGTAATTGGTAAAGATTCTTAAGCAATATTTACCTGAAACCTCATTTGTAGGAAAATTGGAACCTGCTGCTGCAGACTATATATATATGTATTATTTAGTTCTTGCTTGTTGGAGTATTTTCTGATATCTAGGGAAATTATTCTTGCATGCGGAGACCTGCAGCCATGTGAGATCACATAATTAAGTTAGGCATATATATATATATATATATATATATATATATATATATATATATATATATATATATATATATATAGTCAAAGGTACAAAATATAAACAAAGCATTTCTGACTTTTTTTTTGTTTGTTTGTTTATTGAATTTATGGATATAATGAATGAATTTATTGAAAATATCAGCACTTGAGCAGTGATGCAGACAACAAGTAACATGTTGCTTGTATCTGACAAATTGTGATGCAATTAATTATATATATATAATGTTTCTTATAATCATAAATCAAACTCTAAATTTCAAGAAAAAGAAAAATCATATTCATCTCCAACGTGAAATCAACAAATGGAACCTTCCTCTATAAATTATCTAAGTCATCTTCATTACAGCGCATTAGTGGACCCTCACAACCCAACTTGCATCCTTAATTATTTTCTCTTTTTTTTTTTCAAACTTATAATCAAATTCATGTCCTAATAATCCCACTAAGGAAACAATTAATAAATTTAAAATGAAATAATGACCATAAAGCAAAAAAACGAGTTTAAAATTGCATTATGTACCTTACCATAAAATGATAAAAATGAGTTTATTGCATTATATATGTACCCTTATGTTATATTGAGTTGTTAAAAATTCCTCATATTATTGATATTAACAAAAAAATTACATTTTGTTTGAGCTACCTCCCTGTGTTTTTTCTGATTGTCGAAAAACCCCTTATATTAGAAAGATTAGCAAGAAGCCCCTCATGTTGTGTTTTATAAAGCACATCGGTCCTTATTTTGAAATTTATTGTTAGACTTATGTGACATGATCATACTACCCATACAAACGAAATATTAAGAAAAGAACAAAAAAAGGAACCAAAAAGAATTCCATAGGGTATTTTTGACTTTTTAAGTAAAAAATACATTTCTACTTTAACAATCCGCGCAATCGCGCATGCATTAGTATTTTTCACATGGTTTACTAATCTTTTTAACACACGGGTCTTATTTAGCAATTAGTGATTACTTAGGGGTAGTTTTTGCAAAATGAAGAGTTTTTTTGTAAGTAGTATTTTGGTAAAAAAAACTTTGTTAACAATAATAAGAAGGACCAATTTTCAGATTTTGTAATAATGAAAGAAATTAATATGAATGCAAAATAAGGGTGAGAAAATGAAGAAGAGAGATCGATTGACTTACAGCTTCAATATCAATTTTGTAAACTAACAGCTTTCTCCTCTCTCTACAGCTGGTCCTATAAGCCACCGCCACGTGTCCAATAGCCAATCCCAGCGAAGAAACAAACACCGCCGCCTCCATTGTTTTACCGTAAGCGGAATTGTCTCCGCCTCCGCCGCCGCTGATTATGAATATGTACGGAGCCTTCAAAGAGACGAACACCAGCGAAGCCGCCGAGCACACGGTGGCCACCGCCAGGTAAGGCCCCCTCGACAGCTTTGGCCCGTCGCACAAACTATAGACACCTATATTAATTTACCAAACCCCCAAAAAAAAAAAAAAAAAGAAGATGGATATATCAGTGTTAAAATTATTATTTATATTCTCAACGGCGTTATATAAAAGTAATTAATTACATAATATGATGGCGGAGCGGATGATGGAGATGAGGGGGACATCGAAGAGGGAGCGGCGGAAATCGTAGGTGTTGAGATGGGTTTGAAAGTTGAGGGAAGACGGCGGCGGTGAGAGGGCGGCGGATAAGAAGGCGGAGGGGAGGATGGCGTCGGCGATGGATACAAAAATGGGAGGGGCTGAGAATAAGAGGAGAGAGATGAACATGGTGATTAATATGAAGAGGGTTTTTATCCATCTTCGTATTATCACTACACCTCTCTTCAATGTTTTACCCAATACCATCATCATTTTCCACTACTCTTCTACTTCTACTTCTACAGAGAGAGAGAGATCCAGAGAGAGAAAAAAAAAGGAGAAGAGGTGGTAAAAAATAAAAAATACAAGGAAAGAAATTAGAGAAAGATTTAAACAAGATTTGGAATTTATATATATGGATGGCCTTTGGAAGTTGGAACTTTACACGACCAACGTATTAGTCAAAATAAATATAAAGTATTATTTTTTTTTATGAATGAACCCACAACTAATTATACATGTGTACTGCGTAAATTTGCACTCTTGTATAATAGCTTGAAAATCATACGAGAGACGTAAACGATATTGACTAATCATTTGTGACAAACTCTATCTAGCGACCCTTGGCTAGTGAATTCAAACATGCATCAATTAATACTGACTGACTTGCTTCTTTACGGAACAAATTACCACTTTTATGAAGCTATAGGAGAATAGATGATGAAGGGATTAAAAAAGGATCGAAAAAGGTATACCGTCGTAATTTGGATTTATGTCAAATAAATCTTGTGAATTTAGTAAAAAAAAAGCCTTGTACTAACTCCTATAGATGATGAGGGTTGGTTTCTTGTGGGCACCAGCTCCTGGTCCGCTATCTTAACGGGTCGTTGAGTTACTATGATTTACATTCCTCCATCAAATACTTGTCGGGCTAAGGGATGGGGGCCCTGGGGGTGAGGGATTTCGCCTTTTGGTGCAAGTATCTCCAAGGTCCGGGTCCGCTACCCTAATAACCGTTGAGTCACCATAACTTACATTCCTCCATTAAATACTTGTCGGGCCAAGGAATGAGGGCTCTGGGGCGAGAGATTTCACATTTTGGTACAAGTACCTCCAATTATCCCTATTTGTTTTGTTTTGTTTTCTTTTCTTGGGTGAAACTATAACATTACTTTATGTTTAAGTTGTACTTTTTTACAAAAATAAAATTTATGTTCAAGGAAGGTGTGGGTAGTATTTCTCAAATATGAAGAGTCTATAATGTTATATATTTTAATTGGGTAAGTTGCATCCACCTCTTCTAACTTTGATCTTGTAATACTCACACGTTTAATCTTTTGGCTTATATATCTTCTCCATCCATTAATTTTTTCTGTTCATGGTCTGTTAGTTTTTTGTGTTGAGTACACATTTGCTCTAACTTTGGATATGATATAGTAATTTGCATCTACCTCCTCTAACTTGGGTGTTTTAGCAACATCTTATTATTATTGATTTTATTATTATTATTACTATTATTATTATTGTTATTATTATTTTTTTTTTTTTTTTGGATTATGCAGTCCTTTCATCCGATTTAACTTTCGGTTAATGTCTATTATTTTTTGACGTACACAATTCAAATTTTATATTCCAATTAATCAATTTTTTTTATCCGACAAATATTACATTTACATATACGGCATGCGATTATTTGTGGATGTAATAACAAGAAAAAAATTATAGTTCTAACAATTTTGAATTTGTTATGAAAAGAGACAAAAAATAAAAAAAAAAACATTAACAGAAGGTTTTTCGATCCATGTGTCCCATCGTTGCCCCCATCTTTAAATATTTGTTTAAAATTCATATATATTTGTCATAAATATTGGAAAATGATGTCCAAGAAGTTGGAGAAGATATAAGATTGAAAAATTAATTAACAAAACCCTTTTGTAGCCCACATGTTAATTTTGCAAGTTAACATTTTCTTTTCTTTATTTATTTATATATAATTTTCATACTCTATTCCTAAAAGTGACGGACCAGAAAAATGGATAGAAGAGGTCTGTGTGCCAAAAGATTAAAAGTTTGGGCTATACTTGTCAAAAAGACCAAAGTTCAGAGAAGGTGGATGCAAATTACCCTATTGTAATTTGTCTATTTAATCAAGGGAAAAAAATATATATAATTGTCAATAAATTAACGACCATGGATTGAATATTAGAGTCATGTAATTATAATTATAGATGTTTTCACTCTGAAAGTTATTATAGGTGATGAAATTTGTTAGCATGTTCTCAAAAAATAAAAAAATAAACCATGAAGTCATCTTAAATAATCCGGAAAAAAATAAAGTATATATACACACACATATATATAGACTAATGAATCAATAATTAACAAAAAAACATGTATAACTTGTGAGAGTGGGTTACCCATAAATTTACTCCATCATCATATGATGAATGAATCAGCTCTACCAAATTGACTCAACGAGATGCCAAGTTGGATAGTAGATTATAATGCATTATGAAATAATATACTTTATTAAAATTGTAGCATCCCATAATAAACTGAATCTTAATATATATCATTTACTTATAACATTTTAATTTGTAGAGAATTAAAGAAATGGTCATATTCACATTTTTATTTGACGTGCGACTGATCACTGCAACATATGCATGGGTGATCTAATTTGGCTTAGATTGTAATGTATTGAAGATTCATTATTATTTATTCATTAATTAAATGGTTAGTATAAACTAAATTATTTTAGCTAAAAAATGTGAAGTTTGCTACTGATTTTTTTATCCCTTTTTTGAGAAGTAAATTTGGGTTCTTAATAAATTTATGGGTAACCATGACTATAAATGACTACATAGACTGTAACTGTATATTCACATGACTCAAATCACCCATCTAAGTAACCACTACTGATTAAATTTCTACTACAGACAAACAAAACTCTCACACTTGAGGCATTTCAAATCATCTTCAAATAAATACAAAAAATAAATTACATATAATTTATAATAAAAATCAAATTAATCTAAAGAAAAACATAGTAGATCTGGTGTTTTTTTGTTTTTGATAAATGCAGTAAATATATACAAATCAAACACCACCGGTTCCAGATTTGAAATTCACCATTAGATCTCACTACACATCGTCGGATCACGATTTAAAATTTCGAATTCAGTTGGTTTTCATCAAAAAATCTCACTACACATTGTTGGATCACGATTTAAAATTTCGAATTCAGTTGGTTTACATCAAAAAGAATTAAAAAAAGGTGAAATAGTGATAAGAATTCAGAGCTTAAAACAATAATTTAAAAATGGATGGGCATTCATAAATTAAAAAAATAACATAAAAATGTGAAGTGGATGGTTTAATACAAAGTTCAATACGGTGGGAGGAGCAACGACGGCCGGCACAAGGTCGATCGTGGTGGAGCAGCGGCGCAAGGCGGTAGGAGGTGAGAGAGAGAGAAGAGAACGAGAGTTTTGAGAGAGTAGAGAAAACGACGATGAGAGGAGGGAGAGAGAAGAGAAAACTGCTAGGAGGAGGGAGAGAGAAAAGAACGAGAGTTGAGAGAGGGTTAGGGTTTTAAATTGTAAGTAAAATGACAAAACGGGTATTTCAATTTGTCTAGGAGATCTATCAAATTGAAATTTGAGTTTTTGACTATAGGGAAAAAAAATTCATAGAACCTATCCCTATATATTTTCAAAACTAGGGAGTATCCCACATTTCCCCAACTATCTGTCATAGTGTATGTGTCCCTATAGCCAAAAAGATGAACTTGGTGGAATTATATTCCTCCATCAGTTTCAGGGAGAGTCGTTTTTGGAGATGTTGTTGTGATGTTAAAACATGACATTATCAGAGAGAGATGATGAAGAGTCAGTCTCAATAATCATATAATTAGAATTTAGATATATCAATCAATCTCTTTAGCAACCAAAATATAGAAAGCTCAAACCTCGCTTTGTTATCACTAGTTGTACCAATACTGGTAATAGTTTTATTTTGTAGCTAATTAAGAAAGCAAGAAGATTAACTTTTAATGACATTCAAGTGCTCATATATTTCAGTAGTTTGAGTAACCATGTGCATAACTACAATTTGAAAGATTAGATATTTGTTTATGAATTATAATACATGTACGGACTACGGTAGCAAGTTTGTGTTACGTGGTGGAAAAATTATACTTTTCATCCCTTATGTTTGCACCGATTTTATATTTGGTCCCTCATGTTCACAAAAAACATATTTAGTCTCTCATATTTTAATAATTTAACACTTTTGGTCAATTTCCTCAATTTACCGTTAATTTGTCAGTTAAGGCAATGATGGTCACACGCTCGATTTCGTTAGTTTAAACGAAAAATTGACGGAAATGACTAAAACTGTTGAATTTTTAAAACACAAGGGACCAAATATGGTTTTTTTAACATGAACTAAATATAAAATTCATGCAAACGTGAGGGACGAAAACTGTATTTTTCCCTGGTGCAATGATCGTTAACGACTTCGCCTTTTAAATCTTTAATATGAATCGATCCTTTATAGATTAAAATCATTAAATATTAAATATATTTTTATATATCAATCTATAATTCAATTGTGTACAGTTAAATTTCCCTCCCCTGCAATAACTTGCAAATCTTACGAAATGTATAAACCGCACTAAGCAAGCTCCATACTATGAGTTTGACCTATAACTTCAATTTTATTACATGTATGGTAAAACATATCTTTGTAATAGAATTCTAGAAAACACCTCGAATCTACTTATAATTTACACAAAAATCATGACATTCATGAATCACACATTTGACTTTGCTCAATTCATTTCGTATGGATAAAGGAAACTCAAAGTGATGGTGGACCTTCTATGTTTAGTGTAAACGTGTAGTTTAATCTCATTGGGACTTAGGCTTTGTATTGCATTTATTAGATATTAAAATGATTAAAAGTTTATTGAATCAACATTCCTCTATGTCATTGCTTTTGTCACTAATACATCAAATCAAATAGGCATAGTTTACTCATACCCAGGCATAGTCTTCAACTCTTTTTTTTTTTTTTTTCTTTTCTTTTTCCTTTAAGCTTTTAAAAAAAAAATTAAAAATGAAAATTTATTTATATTTGACAACAGTCGGTTGCTAACATCCTTTGAACATAATAATCATATCTGGATCTGATTTAGGCTTAGGCAAACTACTAAGGACTGCATGCATAGTATTATTGACAAGGTTGTAAAAATCGGTAATCGGGTCCGAGTCGGTCAGGCACCGACTCACGATTAATCGGTAATAAATCGGAAATAAATCGGTTTTTAAAATTTAATATAATATAT